GCCAGGCCTGTCCAGCCGGCACTCAGATGCCCACAGCTCCAGGGAACTTGGGCCAAGGGGGCGGGGCTGTGGGGGGGCAGGTGTGGGGAGGGGACCCAGGGCTGCGCAGTGGTCACTCACCCTGAGCGAGGCCGCCACAGGGGCCTTCAGAAGGGCCAGACCTGGAGCTCTGACCACGAGCTCCGCGCTGACCTCCACCTGCGGGTGGGGGGCCGGCTGGCTCTCACCAGCGGGTCTGGGCGGCGGCCAGGGCTCCCCCTGACTCTGGGGGGCGGCCAGCCTATGCCTGTCCTGCATCCCGTGCTCCTCTGTGGGCCCTGGCCCTACGGCAGGTCCCCCACGGACCGCACGTCCCCCACGGCACCTCTGGCCTCCGGAGCCGCCGGCGGGGGCCAGCGTGGCCCCGCGCTGACTATGGAGCTGCGGCCTCTCCAGCCTTGTGCTGAGCTTGTCTGGGTCGTCCCCAGGGTGGCCCATGGCTGTTTCCTGCGGCAGAGGCTGCGCGTGCTCAGAGTGAGCCCCTCAGGGCCAGGCGCCCCACCTCTCCCAGGAGTGGCCTCCCGGGCGAGCCGGGCCAGGGGCTGGCCTTGGGCATGTGGTCACTGGGCGCCGGCTCGGTGGGCCATGCTGGCACCCAGGCCTGGCCACAGTTCTGCCGGCCACTGCTCCTGCCCTGAAGCCACAGCTGCCCCTGCGCACGGCAGCGAGAGGTGCGGAGCTGGCCGCAGGGGGCGGGCCGCCCCTCCCGCTGGTCCCGCTGTGCGGGTGGAGAGGACCCCCTCGGGCGCCCACCCACAGCCGGCGGGGCGCAGGGGCGCGGCGTCGGGGCGGGGCATCGCCAGGCCACGCCTCCTCCGCTGGAGTGGGGGTTGGTCCCCAGACCCCAGACACCTCCGAAGCTGCCCAAGAAGATTGGAGGCAGAATTCGGCCCAAATAGTCCCAAGGAAAAATCAGTGTCTGCGCAGTCAACGCCAGAGGCTGGGCGCGGCCGGGCGGGACACGTGGGCCCAGGAGGCCTTGGCGCGCTGGCCCGGGGCCCCAGGACCCCTGCCTGCGGAGGGCGCCGCCCGGCAGGCCCTCT